ACAAGATTTACTCTGTAAATCTTTGTGTGGTTAGAGCCCAATACGCTAATTCGGTTGTTTGAATTCGTTTCCACACTTATGTGTGAACTCTGTTGCGCACCGCGAACGTTTGGCTCAAGCTGAGTGAAAAAGACTTGCAGCTGTCCGCTGTGTTTAGGGACTTGACTTCCAAGGGAAAAGGTCTAGGAGGGACCTTAAGTTTTTCACGAAAACCAAGGACACAGAGTCCAAACTCCAAGCAGAAGAGAAGCAGCGTTTCCCGTCCGTGTTCGGTTGCTTGCCCAGCTCGGTTCAAGTAGTGCGAAGTGACTGGACAGCACCAACATGTTCATTCTTACAGCTGTGTGGCTAAAGCACGTGACCGTTGTTTTGCTGGTGTGCAGCAACAATACTCTGAAGCTATAAAAGCGAACAAATAGACACTTCCGCAACAGGGAGGCACGTGATGGTGCACACGTTTTCAACAGATTCGACACAAGTCCGTCTGTCCAAAGCCTCCAAAGTTATGTCAAAACGCATGCCTCTTTTGCGATAATAGCCGGCAAAAGCAGCCACAAAAAACAATTGAAGAAATTTAAAGAAACTCGAAATGCAGCTGGTTCCAGTGCAAACAGACTGCTACCTTTATGTTGGGCCAAATCGCAACTGATTAGACACTGCAAACTCCGCCATCTTATCCTGTTTTACTTTAAGTGATGAAACACATGGTTGACGCCTCCATCTGCGACGCCGGTTGAAAGCTGCCAGAAACCTGTAGTCTTGTTCCAACAAAGAGCAGATGCGACATCTAGAGTGGAAGAACCACTCTAAATGCCACATTTTTTGGAAAGACGGACATACCGTGTGCTGCACTCTCATAAATGCTGCTCCTGCGTCTTGCTCTTGGACAAGCTGCAACATCCCTGCTTCTGGCTGCATTTGCTTTTGGTCGACCGTTTTTTGGGACAGCAAAAAGTGGTGTTCGGACTGCCTTTCAAATCCGTGCAAAAGTGGTGTTCGGACTGTCCTTTGAGGAGCACCGAAAACCGGTCAACCAAAGCAAAACCAGCAAGCACTAGCAAGGACGTTGGAAGCTCTCTTTTGGCTCAAAACCAAAGCCAGGCTTCGCATGGAAAGTAAACTGCAGTGCTCTCGTGCGAATCTGGCACGCATGCCCTCAAAGGCGCCCATTTGGGTTGCAACCTCTATTTCCACAATTGTGAAAAAGGGCGCGTTGGATAATTTGTTCTGAGTTGGAACGGTACTGGTGAGGCAATACTTTAGAAGAAAAACAAAGAAAACAAGACTGCACAGTTCTGCCGTTTGGCTGCATTGCTCACAAAAATTGAAACAACTTAGTTTGTTTGGCCTGGAACATTTGGGCGCCGAAAATCGCAGGCAACAGATCAAAAACCAATTAGGAAAACGAAAAAAATGGCAATATACAAGTTTTTGTGACTCTTGGAGTCCAGGTGATTGTACTAGCAGCATCTATTGTGGGTGGTGTGTTTTGGTGGCAGAACATTTGCACTGGAACCCAAATGCAGTTGTATTTCGGGTTTTTACGTGTGGATTGCTCCTTCAGGATGAAGTTGTTCTGTCTGTCAGTATCGCAAAAAAAGCAGCTAGAATCGCCGCGTTTGACGTTGTGTGTTGGGTTTCGCGGTTTTGTGCGGATAGAGGGAGCTCCAGAGCAACCGGAACCTTTTGTTTCGACCTTCATTTTGACAGATAGGACGGGCTCATGTTCAAGGCCCAAAAACCCTTCGAACGTGTGCACCATAACGTGCCTCCCCAGTAGACGCCCCAACTCCAAGCCAAAACCCTTCCTCTGTGCGCTCCAATTGGTACGGGCGCCTCCGGCGCCTTCTGCGGACAGCCAACCGTCACGCAGTTTGCGTGGCCAGGTTGTTTGACACCACACCCGAGACGACGCGTTCGTTCATGGCTGTGTGTCCCCTTGCTGTTGACGCCAATGCGCGCCACGCCACCGATGCAGCCCAAGTCTGATAGTCTAGTTGAGGGGGCTACATATGTTGTTGTAGCAAGCGTTTGCAGTCGTTTGGACGTGTTGGCATCCTCCGCCATACCGACACTCGATGCAGTTGCAGGGATGGCCGCGCAACCACAGACCCGCCTCGGCGCAATCCGCCTTCGTACAAGCTTATTGCGACACGACTTTGACCAACGACCCTTGCGCTGAACGTGAATGGAGGTCGGAAGGTGCAGCCGCCAGTTTATCCTCAACCTGAATGGGGTTGGAAGAGGTCGGAAGGTGCAGCATGGAAGCGCACGTGCCGTTGTATTGGAGGCGTATTCCGTAGCCGGGTGTCTCGGACGTTGGCATCCATGTAACCCGCTCCAGTATGCGGTAGACCGAGACGCTCGCACGCGGTGTTTAGCGATTTGAGTCCGAGTAAGACGCTGTCACAGAGTCAACGGTGTTGGCGCCTGCGATCACATCCAGGGCGGCGATGTTTGTTCGCAGTTCGCATCCACACGGCCCCTTTTTGGCGGCGCATCGAGCTCGGATTCTTGCATGGTACGTATGTGTCGTGCGACTCAGCGGACGCACACCGCGTTTGCCACTTTGCGCACGGAGTGCAAGCGTCATGCCAACACATATTCGGAACCCAACGAGCGGCAACCAGGCCTTGCCACACGTTGTAACTAACTCCTCCGGGTCTCCAGCGCCTTCCTGATGGACGAGTTTGCGCGCAGCCACGACGACGGAGTCGCACGCTGCCTAGCCGACTTTCTGGCCAACGATACCCCGGTACACATTGACGACCTCGGTAGCAAGAGGGAGTGCGTCGTGCCACGGGGGCTGCAATGCAGCCTACTGGGCTTTTTGCCGAATCCTGCACCAGCGTTAGCCGAGTGTTGTTGCGGCGAAGGCCTTCCACCGCCGCGTGCATTCCTTCACCGTTGGAGGGACCGATATCTTGCAGGCCGTCAGGGGCGACGCCAGCTTCATTCCGGCGACATTGAGACGCAGCCGTGTGTGGCGCGCGAGGTGTGACTCGAAGCGCCGAACAAGGTGCAGCGCTCGCTGAGGCGTCGCGAGGATGGTGACATCGTCGAGGTAAGCAAGGATGCGTTCACCTACATCCTCGCGGATTTCCTGCTGGAGTGCCCGGGGTGCAGGCCGCAAACCCAAGCAAAACAGAGCAGGGCTGCGGAGGTCCCCTTGCTCGACACCTTCGGCTTGGCTGATGCTTCGGGAAACGGGGCCCTGTTGCCAGACGAACGAAGAGGGGCGACCTAACCACAACCTTGCAAATGGCAATAGGGCGGCTGCCTCGGGCAACTAGCGGAGCGCGTGTAGGATCGCGCCTGGCGGCTGATGCCATCATAAGCAGCAGAAGCATCGAGGGACACCACGGTCAAGGCCGGGTCCTGGGCACACCTTGCTTGCACATTGTGTACCCAAGCATCAAGGCCTGCACGGTTGCCAAGGGCCTATGGGTGTGGGCGGCAAGCAGCTTCAAGCGAGGGTGCAAACTGTTTGTGCAAGTGTACGTGCGATGAGGCGCCGGCAAAAATCACCGACGACTAATCCACGGGTACCGCCAGTGGGCTTGCGGATCGCAACCATTCGCCCAAGTCCCAGGGCAGCTCGAATGTCTTCGGGGACATGCGCCTGCACAAGGAGCGAGGCGACATCGACAAACGCTTGTGTGGAGTCGTCGGCGTCCAACACGACGCGCACGACTTCAGCAGTGAATCCCGAGAGCCCGGGAGCAACCCCCTTATAACGCGCCCGGCGCAAGTTAGTAAGCAGTGCGGCTCGATCGAGCTGGACGAGGGAAGAGGGATTCCAATTGAGCAGCTCCGGCTCGATGGTTTCATGCGGCTCACGTGGTCGACGGGTCGGGTCGGCAAGCTGGTCGAAAGTTGCGTCCGTAGCAGGGGCGAGCGGTGCAGCGGTGAGCGCCTGTCGCGCTGCAGACAGTTCTCCAAGGTGAGCTCAGCGCCGGGCTCTACGTGCACGGCGGCTTGTCGAATCAGCGGGCTCGCGTGCTAAGGCCTCTTGCAACAAAGCTGCCCAATTACCCTGCATGAACGATTGGAACCGTGCCAACAGAACCGTTTCTCAACTCGAGCTCCACCTGCGGGCCCATGAAGGAGCATGCGGGGCAAGAACAACCACAGCTTTTTTTTGCACGGACGTTTCCTCTCCGCTGAAGCGGTCTAGCTTCCAGGCTCTAACCAACTGCATGTCGCCAGCTCCGCCCGATGTCGTCCGAATCAAGTCCAATGCCACATGGAGTGCTCTGCGAAGCATACCTTTGCAAAAGTGCGGGGGCACCCGAAACAAGCAGCACGACCGCGCCAGGACGTCTTCAGCCAGGAAAGGGTCAAGGTTCGCCAAGGAAGCCCGGTAGCGCAACCGGGTGTCGGAAGCGGGTTCATGCTCGCAGGTGGGCACATCATGTTCAACGCCACTTGGGTCGTTATCTGTGCTGGAAGCATTCGAGCTAGAAGAAGAAGAACCACTGGGTACTGGAGGTTGCTCCTGGGCCGCGCTGGCACGCGCTCCACTGGATGTCGGGGCCGGGGCATGCGTCGGCGGGCCGGCCCTCGCGCCCAAAACCTTAAGTGGGAACCGTAAATTACTACAATGAACATACCATAGGCTGCGTTTAGCGCTTGCCGACTCCAGAACCATCCAGAACCATTACCTGTGATTACTTTGCTTTGCGCATCCCAAGTTGCCGAGGGCTGTCTACTTGTGGCACTACGCATGCCTCGCCTCAAATCTCTTCCTCACCATGCAGGGTTGTGTGTGCTATATCAAGGGTGTAGGGTTCGAAGGCATTCGCCCGCTCCCGCCAAAGGCAACTTTAGAAGCGAGTAGGCAAGCGCGCGCTGTGCCGCCACAGCCAGCCTGCCCGTCCAACTTGCAAGGAGGCACATTGCACGGCCGGGCACGACCGCGCTGGCGACTCGCGTGCACGAGCATAGGCCAACTGCCGCAGGAAGGCAACGGCCTGTCGGCTAAACCTGCCGCCAAGCTCAAGGCCAAGCACAACCAGTTTGCAACGGCGAGCGACTGCAAGCTCCGGGTAGGTGCGCAAGTGTTTGCACGCTCGGCATGCGGCTGTGCGTCGCTTGCCCGCGTGACCGTCTGGTCGCCCTGCCAAAGGGGCAAGCCATTTGCCAAAACGTCGATGTGGCGGCCGTCAGTCAAGGGCATGCCAACATTCAAGGACCTCCAGTGCTGCCCCGCACGTTTCGAGGACACCGGCAGTTGGGCACGCTGCGCAATGGTCACCGAGGGCATCGAAATCGCCGCCACAACGGCAGCGATGGGGCTCCGGGGCCGTGTGCTGGGCGTGCCTAGGACAACATCAATGCGCACGAAGGCGGGTCAAAGCCACAGCAAAGGCTTCCGCAGGCTCAAAAAACCCAGGCGGCGGGCGCCCACATTCGGGCAATTTTGTCCCGTGGCAATGCGAACCCGGCCTCCTGTTGTTAGCGCTTGAGCCCACATCCTGCGGCTTGGTGTTGCTTGGCACTCCTTTCGGTTCGCCGGAATTTCTGACGCTTCAGCCCTGCAGGCGGAAAGCAGGTCCGGTGGAAACAAAAAATTGTCGCCAGTCACCTCCAGTCCTTGAGTGCCCGACACAGGGAGCGTCGTTGTCGCAGTCCTCACAAAAGACGAGATCACAGGGGCTGCCTCGCAAGGTTTCCGTTGATCGTGGATTTGCCCTCGACTCTAGGAAGTACAATTGAAAACTGTCCATCAGTGTAGAACGTGTGGTATCCTGGTCCTGAGTTCTAATCGCTAACACCTTTGGGGTGGCAACCTACGAACCCCTGCCAAGGCTGGGGCATCGACGTGCAGCTGTCCGGAGCACATATCAATTTCGTGCGGGGACCCCGGCTTCCCTAGGAAGGACAAGGGGTTCAGACGGTTTTGAGCTTAAGATGGGGAGTCTGTTTGGTGCTCCATAGGGAATGGGGGAATGGATCCCTATGATAGTCCCTTCAGGTCCCTTATAGTAGTCCCTATAATCCATTCCCCCATTCCCTACTATGGCTGTTGCTGTTGTACACCGCGGCCACAGCTTGCTTTGCGTCACGGCGGCCTTGGCCTGCGTAGTGCCGCGCTGCACGCGCCAGCTGCTTTTTGGGCGTCGTGGGCCGACGCATTCACTTTTCTGTCCGTTCGGGATGCAAGGTTTGGCACAGGCTTTGGATGCTCGTAACCTCTCGGCAGGCACTCCGATTCGGGACCTGCTCGAAGCCTCTGACGTGCTCGTCGCGGCCGGCTTCCGCATCCCCCTCTGGGCTGACTTGCCCCAGCAGGCCCCTTGCGCAGCCAGCCGACGACACTGAATCCGAGGCGCATTGCGTGGCTGGCAGCGCCATTCCTCTCGGGTCCTTGATGACTTTGCTGTCGCTGAGCATCGCCACAGCGTTGGCCCGGCCGAACTCGCACTCCTGGATTCACGATCGGGCCCATTTGCAGCCAGGGTTCTCACGGTGCGTCCTACTGCTCCTGAGCTCGCCGTCGACTCAATTCCTTTCCGCGTGTTGCTGCTCCGCCGCCTCCGACTTCCGCTGCCGTTGGCCCCAGCCCGCTGCCGCTGCCAACGCCCGTTGGATGTGTTGGGTGATCATGTCGCAGCCTGCCCCCGGTCCGGCACCTAGCGACAGCGAGGTGGGCCGCTTGAACGGGCCGCCACACGTGTCTGCCGCGAAGCCGGCGCAGCTGTTGCTACAAATGTGCTGGTCCGCGACTTCAACCTCCAAGTTGCAAGGCAGGATGACAGGCGCATTGATGAGGTCATTGCTAATGGACTTCCTTTGTGGGGTGGCTTTCAACTCGCAGTTGCTGACACCACCCTGGTCTCCCCCCACTGACGTCAGCTGCTGCGCCCCGCCGCCGCAGTGGGGCCACCGCCGGCGCAGCCCTGGCAGAAGCCCGCCGAAGCAAGGAACGCACCTACCTGGAGTTCGGGCGGGCGTCGCGGTGCCGCTTGGTCGTTCTCGGCATCGAGGTTGGCGGACGCTGGAGTGCTGAAGCGGCCAACTTCGTCCGCTTGCTGGCTCGAGCACGAGCACGCACTGCCCTCCCGTTGCAGCGTGCAGCAACCTTCGTTGGGCGATGGTCGGGATTATTGTCGGTCGCCGCAGCCAGGTCCTTTGCTGCCAGCTTGCTTTCCTTGCCGATCTCCAATACCGCCAATGTTGAGGGCGAGTCACCTTTCCTCAACGACGTCCTCGCTGACTCCGCCGAGTCACCTCCCCTTGCCTCCCGCTTGGCGTAGCGCGTGTGTGAGCTCTGCGCCGCCGGAGCCCCCGTTGCATTGGGACCGCGTGGACTTGTCGTAAAAAGGTGTGTGGAACAAAATCGTATCTTGCAAGTGTCCTTCAGCCTTAGAAAAACTTGGAGTTTGCCAAAAAAATTGCGAATCAAGGCTTTGCAACCCGTCATTTTTAGAGCGGATACAAAACTGTTCGCGTTCGCGGCCACTGGCTCCGCTTGGTTGCAGATTGGCCATGTGCTCATTAAGCCTTCCAGGTCGTGGCTTCTGCTGCCATACCATCCGGGACAAGCGAATGCGACTTGTTTGGGCAAAAACGGCCGCCACAGCAAGTGGCCTTCTTGTTTGTTGTTCGAACGCTCTGTTTTGATGAAACTGAAGGTACATGGTTTCAGCATGCAGTATATGATGGCTTTTCTATTGAAATCGGGCGCAGGTGAGCCTCAATCTTTCTCCGTCCACCCGACCTCCAACGGTAGCAGATTTATTCGTTTTTATGAAGTTTGTTCTCCGTTCAAAGCGTTGATGGAATTTGCAGTCGCCAGAGGTTACAGTTTGTTGTGTCAGAGTGCAGCAATCAAGGTTGGTGCAAATCCGAAAACTTTAGCTGTTACAACCGTAGGAACACTCGCCGATGGCTGCAAAACATTCTTGAGGGTGACCATCACAAGCCCCAACCACTGAAAGACAGGGTCCCGTGCTGCCATCAGTTGCCTTGGGTGCTGAGCCTGGGAGACGGCGCATAAACCTAGCGGCTTACATTCTTAGACTACAAGTCTACGCCCCCGAGCGCCTACCGTAATCCTTGAACGTCGCCACCAGCCGAAAGCCCAACGCTTTACAAACCCAAGTCTTATGTTTAGGATTCAGGGGTGCGCGGTGCAGAGGTGCAGACGCAGGGCTCACTATAGTGTGGGGTTTATATATATATATATACATTTATATTTATATTTATATTTATATTTATATTTATATTTATATTTATATTTATATTTATATTTATATTTATATTTATATTTATATTTATATTTATATTTATGTTTATATTTAT